GTGCAGAAATATTTATTTTTTAGCAAATATTTTCTTCAAAGATTGGTATGTGGTATTGACAGTGTAATCTACTTGCACAATTAGTTTTGCAATAACCTTCTACAAATAACTGTAAATAAGAAAAATGTAAATTTTATGTAAAAATGGTTGCAAATTTTTGGTAGCTAAAAGTGTACAAGTTGTATTGAAAATATAGTATATATACATAATTTAAGAACGAAGCATATAATTTCTGATCTATTTATACATGAAAATTCAAGAATTTGTAAAAGAAATTATTTTGGGGAAAAAGAAAGTAAATCTCATTAGCTAGTTAGAATACTTTTATTAGAGAAGTCAACTATTTCCAACATTTTACTAGGTATAGTGCTAGACATAGGCATGGTGGTGCTGATGTATTTAATGAAATCACATAATTGTAACAGTGCTACTACAGTTTTACTGAGTTCCACTGGGATGCCAGTAAAGTGGATTGAATGGTAAAAAGCATTCAATCTAAAATTAAAGAAACATAAAAACACTTCACTTCTTATTATTGGTTAGCAAGAACATAACTTACTGAAACATTTATTGTTTCATTACTTAAGATTTCTGGTAACTAGGCAGGCTTCAAATTGCCTGGGACATGAATTTTGTATAATGTGTGCATGGTTTTTTTTCATCATGGATGAAAATATCCGGATAACACATTCATTTGCCTAAGTTTCACATACGTTTAATTTGCCCCCTAGAATTATTTATCATTTGAGAAAAAAATCCAACTATCTTCAGAGAAATTTTTTCAATAAAATTTGTTGGTCATAATGTGGCATTTTCTAAGCTAAAAACTATTTGGTCCATGTAGTGGCGTGGATTCTCCACCATCCATTTCTTAAGGTTTAAAAAAGCCAAGAGAACATTCCCTATTTAATAAATGAAAAAACCAAATTGAATATAGATTAGCAGAAAGCATCGTACTGGTATCTTTAAGTGAGGCTGATTAGAAAATGAGAATCAAAGTATGAATAAGCTAATTATTTAAAAACGTAAAATCTCTTGCCATAAGATAAATTTAGGGGTGATGTATTTAGGTAGCTTTGGGAAATTACATATGCATCCCGAAGTTCAGCTAATCCTTAATTTTTCTAAATGGCCTATCATTTTCAAAAGAATATGGATCTTTAATTAGTATGTTTCTGGAACACTCATACATGTTCAGGTTACCCTTTGAAATTTCAGTGATGACAGTAAGATAAAATGTGATTACATACAGCCAGCTAAAATGCCAAGGACTGCATGTATATATTTTTATTTTCATGCTTAAAGGAAAAGATTGGGACACCCCCAACACACATACACACAATGTATCAGAAGAACAGATTTCTCTCTGAGTATAGCTATTGAAGAATGAGAGATCCCAGTTGTCATTTCCTATAAGCTCGCCAGATGGTCAGCATCTCTGATGCTATGGAGAGGGTACACTTGGAAATACAAGTAGCTCACAGGCAAGGACCCTTCTCACCCCCTAACTGTATGGCACATCATAGCAATGCAGGAGTGCTGCCAATGTCTACTTGCTATATATCCACATACACAGAAGCACACTTGAGTTCTGAATGCTCGCAAAGTAATAAACAATGCTGAATAGTACCAAGCTACCTGGCTAAAAAGAATGTTAAGTACTCTAGGGCTCTTTTCTTCATATGCCAGTAAAACGTGTTTTTAAAAACAAGCAGAAAAGACATGGCAAGAAACAATTAAAAGCACAGACTTCCCAGCATCCAAGTAATGAGTTGATAGTGAGTCAGACAGAAATTTTTCATAAGTATCCTAGTGGTTTGCTGGAAAGTAGTTTTGTGCTCAGTATTCTAAATTACGGGAAAAAATTTAACTTAATATATGGACATATATGATGTTATAATCTTATTCTAGACTACAAATTACCTAAACGGTATTCGTTTAAAATCCTCTCTGCATTCATCACTATAACAGAAGTTCTCAGTATTTTGTTTTTTCTTTGCATCACCTAATTTTGTTATAAAGTCTAGACATACTCTTAGATGATAGCTTAGCATTGTACATTTATTTCAAAGTGCTTACGAGACCAAAAAAAAAAAAAAAAAAAAAGAGCTAACCTGAAAGAAGTCTTGGGTTTTTACTCACTAAATGTAATTACCAGACTTGCACAAATGTATTCCTATTAAGTTCCCAGAAAACCGCTACAAATAGAGAAAACATATCATTTAGGAGTCTGTCAAACATAAAAGGACAAAAGAAAAGCACATTTCTGACAAATACTATGTATTTAGTTTGTCCAGTTTAGTAATGCCCTAAGAGTACAAGTGAACTTGATTTGTATATTTTACTTAAATAATCACAAATTGATTTTTTGGTCATTTCTTAAAATTGCACAGACTTTAAACTACATTAATAAATTCTACTTTCTTCCTGGGTGAATACCTTTTCTGGAAATAAACATATCATATTTGACATTTTAAAATTACTTTTTGTTTCTGAATGCATGTTTAAATAGATCACATGAGCACAGTCCTTGAAATTACACTTAAAGTGGACCAAATTAAGACTCCAATAGTACTGATTTCCCCTTGATGTAATTTAAAATGTGTAAACTGCCACCCAAAATAGAAGTGCAATACCTGACATTTAATCATTCGGCGGTGTTTATAGGCATAGGTGAATTACTGCACTGTTATTTGAACTGGAGCATCTCATATATATGTAACAGATTTTGTATAATACAAAACTTTACAGCAAGCTATTTGAATGTTTATTAAAAAATTCTCAAAATGACATGGAAACACGTTTACTGTATAAATAAAAGCACTTAGATGTTAAGAGTGTACATTATTCAATAATTTACATCATTACAAGAAAACCGGGTGTGAGTTAAACAGCACAAACTATGATGCTATATTCCGATTCCAGTCATTGTTCAACATCAGACTATTTAATTTTTACTTTAGTAATGGATGTCTGTTCACATCGGTTATCTTGAGAGCACCAAAAAGTGAATCGCATTTCAGTACACAAAACCAAATGAAATATTCTCAATGGCTAATATTTGATAAGATTACCTATTTAACGTAAAGTGTAAAAGAACTGGCTGATAAGTAAACTGGCCTGGCATGGAAAATCAGTTTCGGGGGAGAAAAGGGTTCTGTGGTCAAAAAAGTTTGGAAAAAAACTAGGTAAATAAAAGTAAACAGGATTTTATGTACCTTAGGCTTTATCAAGCTCCCTGAAAAGGGTGAAAATGTCCTAAATACGTTTGGTCATCGAAACTCCTTCACAGATCTATGACCAAAATTCATAGGAACACCTTTGGAAGAGGAGGAGTCAGAGAATGGTATAGAGAGTTCTAATACAAAGTGCCACCTGGCAGAAACCTATATGAGGAATACCATACGTCATTTTTAAAGTTTTGCCTCAACCATTAGCCTCGAAGTAATAAAAACTATAACAGAGGTCAGAATAGTACAGTGAATGGATTACCTTTAAGCTGGATGTTAAGATCCCAGGCTGCTGAGTCATATTATCACCCTTATTCAACATGAATGATATGAGTGTGTTTATATTAGTTTTTTCCAACAAGACTTCTAATTCGAATCCTGTATTTTTTTTAATGGTTCAGTTAACACCCTCTCACATTATCAAATATAAGTTCGTGGAAAAAAACTTAACAGCCAGAGGACAAAAGTATATGGATTATTTCATCACACATTTTTATACTGCTGACCAAATCAATCTAACAGCTAATTATATAAAGTTATAATGTCAAAATGACTCTCCAATACTTCCTTTACAGGACTGTTAAAAGTATAAGTTGATTTAAAATTCTGTGAGTTTGTAAAAAGTTTTCTTTCAAGACACTGCTCTTCGCTTTCCAGCCTTTAAGAAACAGAATTTTATAAAAAGCATAATTAATTTGGTCACCAGCCACACTTAAAATCATGTCAATTTGTACTCACATTTTAAGCTGGAAGACCTTCAGTTAAAGTGTAAGAAAAATACATACTTTTAAAATCTTCACTAAGAAACACTTAGAATGTTTGCCAGGAAAGCAGCTGGATTGATTAGAATAGCTGACACCGGGATCTTAAATGCTAAGGATTTGATGACCACTCTGTAGCTTTCCACAATAATGCCACAGAAACAGGTCGTGGTGCCTATTGTGGTCAGCACCCTCCACATTACAGACCACAACAACTTACCAGTTTATGAATGCTAATGATAAACCCCCAGCCAAAGTTGAGAAAGTCAAACTTATAATTTCTGAACACTTAAATGAAATGGTAGATTACTTGATTTTTTAATTTTGTAAAGAGTTGGCATTATAAATATAAAACAATTTAGCTTCATGGAATACACTGAAATGTTGACATTTTGTTAAAAATACATATCATATCCAGAAAGTCTAGATTTAAAAGGAAGATGCCATTTTAGGCAATGTTGTCACTAACAAAAAAAAGTGCAGCCAATAAAAGGTATGTTTATTAAGAATTTTTTTCCACAGAAGACAAAGAAGCATACTAAAAAAAAAAAAATGCACTGAAAAAAACAAAGAAAAAAAATGCCTCCTGCAGCCTTATTTCTATAGGTTAATTTATGGTGCACTTAAGCGATGTAACAAAATTTTAGGAACTTTCTCTCTTCATAGACAAAGACTAGTGAGTTTCTGTTCTTGAGTTATGTGATCAAGGAATAAACTCTTCTACAAAAGTGGAACAAAATCCAGGCTTCTCCTTCTATTCACCTACACAACAAATGACTACGAACAAAATTTCAAAGTATAATTTGTAACCTTCTGGTAAGTATACGTTAACTTTATCTAAACTTTAATTATTTGGCTTCTTATATACTCTCTTGTAAGTACATTCTTCTGGGTTAACAACGTTAAAAATTAAGGTTAAAAGGTATTTATATCAATTCATCATATACCAATATTTTACAATATTATGCATATATCTGTTAAGTGATAACTTTTCTAAAAGAAATTAATATTCCAAATACAAAAACATTTCTTTTATTGCTTTGAACTGTGCACTAAAGTAAAAACACATAGAAAGGGAACAAATTTAATAGGCAGAAACACAGAAAAGCCCCAAAGCTTCAAATTCAAAGTAGTCCAGTTCATTTCTTCCAGATAAAACAATTCACAGTATTTCTTCAGCTTTCGAATTCTAGACATTCAAATTGCCATAGTACCCTGCAAAAACTAATATATAAGCAAAATCATCAGCTGGTTAACAATAAAATGTTTTTGGTTTTGATTAATTATACTCCGTAAAAGCATTTTCACAAGGGAAGTATTAAATGCTTCCAAGGCTTGTAATGTAAACCGGGATACACCAGTAGGGAAATCCTGACCCTATAACTTCCCTATTACAAGAACAAAACAAAAACCTTGAAACATTGATGTACATGTGAAATATAATTTTCCTATAGTTTCAATTTAAAAAAAATGGGAGGATGCTAATTGCAACCACTTGAAATGAGAAATGAACAGTCGTTATCTGTTATACATAAATATTTCCTCTTTCTTAGTATCGTACAAAAGTAAACTACTCTTTTTAAAAATAATGGTAATTTTGCCCTTAACAATGATTTGAAAGATGGGATGCCTCGGTGGCTCAGTGGTTAGGCATCTGCCTCCGGCTCAGGTCATGCATGATTCAACGCTCCTGGAATTGAGTCCCACATGGGTTTCCTTGCTCAGTGGGGAGCCTGTTTCTCCCTCTGCCTCTGCATGCCGCTCCCCCTGCTTATCCTCTCTCTCTCTGACAAACAAAATCTTAAAAAAAAAAATGATTTACCAAAAACATGTCATAAAATTTAAAAGTATCTTTATGTTTAATATAAAGTCAAGTTGGTATTTATGAAGATACTGAATCATATTTGCATTTAGCTGAAAAATACAGAAAAAGAATATGGTCTATAAAACATATTATTCCCAGTACTGATACCAGGATTCACTTAAATTTTTTAACAACTGAACATGTCTAGAACATAGTGTAAATATCAGAATACTCACATCATCATATATGAAATTCACAACTCCTTGTTGTAAGTGGTCTCTTCTCCTAAAGAAATCTTCAAACAAACATACAAAAATATTAAAATTTTAAATGTAGTTTCAAATACTTGTTGTCCCTAAGCACTAAAAAATGACTAATTTCATACTTAATTGAAAGGTTTTTTAAGTTTTTATTTAAATTAGTTAGTTAACATATAATGCAATATTAGTTTTGGTCGTACAGTATCATGACTTAACAACCCTGTATCACCATGTGCTCATCATGACAAGTGCATTCCTTAATACTCATCACCTATATCCCCCATCCCTCCAACCCACCTCCCGTCCGGTAACTATCAGTTTGTTCTCTATAATTAAAAGTCTGTTTCTTGCTTTGTCTCTTTCTTTCCCTCTTTTTCCCTTTGCACATTTGTTTTGTTTCTTAAATTTCACATGAGTGAAATCATGCGGCATTTGTCTTTCTCTATCGTACTTCGCTTGGCTTAACACTCTCTAGCTCTATCCTTGTCTTTGCAAATGGTTAAGACTTCATTCTTTTTCATGGCTAAGTAATATTCTATGGTATATATACAACATCTTCTTTATCCATTCATCAATCGATGGATACTTTGGCTGTTCCATAATTTGGCCATTATAGATAATGCTGTTATAAACATTGGGGTGCATATATCCCTTTGAGTTAGTATTTTTGTATTTGGCTAAATACCTAGCAGTGTAATTGCTGGATTAGAGGGTACTTCTATTTTTAACTTTTTGAGGAAGCTTCATACTGTTTTCCACAGTGGCTGTACCAGTTTGCATTCCCACCAACAGGTCAAGAGGGTTCCCCTTTCTCCACATCTTCACCAACTCCTATTGTTTCTTGTGTTGTTGATTTTAGCCATTCTGACAGGTGTGAGGTGATTATCATATTGTAGTTTTGATTATCATATTGTAGTATTTCCCTGATGATCAGTGATGTTGGGCATCTTTTCATGTGTCTGTTCCAACTCTGTGAAAAATAGCTGATATTTTGATACAGATTGCATTTAATGTATAGACTATGCTTTGCATAGACATTTTAACAGTATCTGGTCTTTCAATCCATGAGCATAGAATGTTTTTCCATTTATTTCCAATTTCTTTCATTAGTGTTGTACAGTTTTTAGAGTACAGGTGTTTTACTTCTTTGGTTAGGTTTAGTCCTAGGTATCTTATTGGTTTTGGTGCAATTGTAAATGGGACTGATTCCTTAATCTCTCTTTCTGCTACTTCATTTGAGGTATATAGAAATGCAACTGATTTCTGTACATTGATTTCTGTATCCTATGACCTCAATGAATTTGTGTATCAGTTTAGCAATTTTTTGGTGAAATCTTTCGGGTTTTCTATATAAAGTATCATGTCATCTCCAAATAGTGAATGTTTGACTTTTTCTTGCTGATTTGGTAGCCTTTTATTACTTTTTGTTGTCTGACTGCTTGCTAGAACTTCCAGTACTGTGTTAAATAACAGTGGTGAGAACAGACAACCCTGTCTTGTTTCTGACCAGAAAGGAAAAACTCAGTTTTCCCTCATTTTGAAGATGGTATTAACTGTGGGTTTTTCATACATGGCCTTTATCATATTGAGGTATGTTCCCTCTAACCTACTTTGTTGAGATTTTCTGTTTTTGTTTTTTACCATAGGATGTTGTATTTTGTCAAATGCTTTTTCTGCATCTTTTGAAAGGATCGTATGGTTCTTACCCTTTCTTTTATTAATGTGGTGCATCACGATGATTGATTTGCAAATGATGAATTACCTTGCAATCCAGGAATAAATCTCACTTGATCATAGTGAATGATTCTTTTAATGTGCTACTGGATAAAATTTGCTAATATTTTACTGAGAATTTTTGTGTCGATGTTTATTAGAGATATTGCCTGTAGTTTTTTTTTTTTTTAAGGAAGTCTTTATCTGGTTTTGGCATTAGGGTATTGCTGATCTCATAAAATAAGTTTGGAAATTTTCTTTCCTTTTCTATTTTTTGGAATAGTTTGAGAAGAATAGGTAACTCTTCTTTAAATGTTTGGTGGAATTCGCCTATGAAGCCACCAGACCCTAGACTTTTGTTTGTTGGGACTTTTTTTGATTACAGATTTCTTTGCTGGCTATTAGTCTATTCAAGTTTTCTATTTCTTCCTGTTTTAATTTTAGTAGCTTATATGTGTCTAGGAATTTGTCCATTTCTTCCAGGTTGTCTAATTTGCTGACATATAGTTTTTCAAAACCTTCTCTTATAATTGTATTTTTGTGGTGTTGGTGGTTATTTCTCCTCTCTCATTTGTGATTTTATTTATTTGTGTCCTTTCTCTTTTCTTTTTGGTAAGTCTGGCTAGAGGATTATCAATTTTAATTAATTTTTTCAAAGAACGAGCTCCTGATTTCCTTGATCTGTTCTCCTGATGTTTTAGTCTATCATTTATTTCTGCTCTAATCTTTATTACTTCCTTCCTTCTCCTGGCTTTGATTTTCTTTTGTTTTTGTTTCTTTCCTAGCTCCTTTAGGTGTAAAATTAGGTTGTTTATTTGAGATTTTTCTTACTTCTTGAGGTAGGCTGGTTTTGCCGTATACTTCCCGTTTAGGACAACCCTGCTGCCTCAAAAAGATTTTGGACCACTGTGTTTACAACATTTTCATTTCTGTCCCTGTATTTTTTTTATTTCTTAATTTCCTGGTTTACCCATTCATTGTTTAGTACTATGTTATTTAACTTCCATGTCGTTATGGCCTTTCCAAATTTTGTAATGTGGTTGACTTCTAGCTTTATAGTGTTATGGTCAGAAAAGATGCATGGTAAGATTTCAATCTTTTGGTTACTTTTTGAGGCCTGATTTGTGACCTAATATGTGATCTATTCTGGAGAATGTTCCATAGGCACCTGAATGTATACTATGCTGTTTTAGGATGCAATGTTCCGAATATATGTTAAGTCATCTGGTCCAGTATGTCATTCAAAGACATTGTTTCCTTGTTTATTTTCTTTTTAGATGAGCTGTCCGTTGATGTAAGTGGGGTGTTAAAGTCCCCTGCTATTACTGTACCATTATCAATTAGTTCCTTTATGTTATTATTTTATATATTTGGGTACTCTCATGTTGGACGCATAAAAATTTAGAATTGACAGATCTTATTGGATTGTCCCTTTTATCATGATATAGTGCCCTTCTTCATCTCTTGCTACAGTCTTTGCTTTAAAGTCTAGTTTGCCTGACAGAAGTATTGCTACTCTGCCTTTCTTCTGACATCCATTTGTGTGGTAAGCATTGCTCCATACCTCACTTTCAATCTGCAGATGTCTCTTATAAGCAGCATATAGATGGGTCTTATTTTTTTATCCATTCTGATACCCTTTGTCTTTTGACTGGAGCATTTAATCCATTTACATTCAAAATAATTATTGACATATATATTTAGTGCCACTTTATGACTTGTTTTGTCATTGTTTCTGGAGATTTTCTCTGATCTTCCTTTTCACTTTTGGTCTCTCCATTGCACTCAAAATTATTCCTTTAATATTCCTGCAGGGCTGGTTTAGTGGTCATGAACTCCTTCAGTTTTTGTCTGGGGAACTTCTTCTATTCTGAATTATAGCCTTACTGGATACAGTATTCTTGGCCAAAGAATTTTCCTATTCAGTACATTGAATAAATCATGCTACTCCTTTCTGGCCTGCCAAATTTCTGCTGAGAAATCTCCAGCTAACCTTTGGGTCTTCTAAGTTAAGGACTTCTTTGGTTTTGCTGATTTTAAGAGTTTTTCCTTTATCACTTACATTTTTACAAATTTAATTACAACATGTCTTGGTGTGGCCTGCTTTTGTTGATTTTGAAGGTAGTTCTTTGTGCCTCCTGGATCTGGATGTTTGTTTCCTTCTCCAGATTAGGCAAGTTTTCAGATTTTTCCCCTCCAAATAAATTTCCTGCCCCCCTTTCTCTGTCTTCTTCTAAGACTCCTGTATCACGAATGTTATTGCTTGATGGAGTCACTGAGGTCCCTAAGTCTATTCTCCTATTCTGTAATTTTTCTTTCTCTCTTTTATTCACCTTCATTATTTTCCATTATTTTGTCTTCTAGGTCACTAATTCATTCCTCTGCTTCTTCCAGCCAGCTGCTCATTGCATCAAGCCTATTTCCAATATCATTTATTACATTCTTCATCTCTGATTCTTTCTTAGCTCTTTTACCTCTGTGGTAAGGGTCTCACTGATGTCTTCTATTCTTTTCTCAAGTCCAGTGAGTACCCTTATGATTGTTGCTTTAAATTCTCCATTAAGCATATCTGTTTTGCCAGGATCTCTGGCTGTGGCCTTATCCTGTTCTTTCATTTGGGATAAATTCCTCCATCTTGGCATTTTGTCTGAGTCTCTATCTTCTTCTATGTGTGAGAAAAGCCACTTGCTCCTGAAAGCAATGGCTTTATGAAGAAGAGGTCATATAGTGTCTAGGGCCTGGCACTTTATGGAATGTCTCTGGTGTGTGCAATATATGCTCTGCTCTTGTGTTTTGGGTTCTCTATCCTTCAGGCCACTGCTGTGGGCAGTGTTTGGTCCTTGGCCAGAATGTAGCAAGTTTTATCTAGGTATGCTCTGGTCTGCTTATCAAATCAGACCTAACACCACCTGCACCAGAACTGAGGCCCTGCAGAACTCTCTAGTTGGGAGACATGGTATGGGCAGGGGCTTGTACTGGTCTTCTGGGGGATAAGCCAACCACACTGGGACTGAGGCAAGCTTGACTGAGAAGGGCAATCCTGCCACAGTGCAGGGGTGTGAGGTTTGGTATAAACATTAGGGAGCCAGTGTCTGTGTTGCACTGGTTCCCGCAGATGGATCTGTGTTTAGGCTAATGGGCAGAAGAGGGAAACGACATGAACCAGCTCCTTTATTCCTGGAGAGGTGTCTCCAGGAACCCCGCCTCGCAGGGACATGCTCTAAGAAGAGTGAATACTTTCCTCGGTGTGCTCTAAGCATTCTTCAGATCATTCCTTCCACATTATCTGTCCCCTGGTTGTCTGCCTGCCTACTCTCCAAAAGCAGTGCAGTGCCCTCTGGGCTCTATCCTAGCCAAGCACGCTAACCTTTAAAAGTCCAGGTTTTAAGCCCCACTGATTGCAAGAACTCAAAAAACTTAGCCCCTCCCATTTTCCAAACAAAAGCCTTTGGAGAAATGTTCTTGTGTGTTCCTGGATGTTGCTTTCTCTTATTGCCCTTCTCCGTGACCATGGATTACTCCTCTCTGCACACTCGTGATCCATTTCTCCCCTAAACCACATCTCTGCTCTTCCCACCTTCTTTGATGGAACCTATTCTCTCCCTTTTGTTGTGGAGTTTGTTCTATCAATCTTCAGGTCAGTTTCTGAGGTATTTAGGATGACTTGATAGTTAGCTAGCTGTGTCTGTGAGAAGAGACAAACCTACGGTTTTCCTACTCCACTGTCAGCTTCCCTCTCTCTCTTTTCATTCCCAATTAAATCAAGTGATTTCATATCCTGGGCAACTGAGACATGAAGAAAACTTTCCAAAACTGAGCCGTAACAATTTTCCACTCTTGACATTACTAAATTTTTAAAGCCTTAAAAGTGATTAGATTTAACGGTGAATAAAGGTGAAAAATACATATATTACAAACTTGCAGAAGAAAATGAGAGACACTATTCAGAAAAATAGCTACATAATATTGCACCCACTTTTAAATGATCAAAATACCTGTCAGTGCTCGAAGCTTCACACAGCAAGCAACATAATCATCAAAGAAGATTCGGCCATTCTTGCTGTACCGTTTGACAATAGCAGTTAGTGTTTGAGGACTCAACCTATAACCTAGAAAAAGGAAATTATACATTAAAACTTCTAAAACCAAACACCATAAGAACACCACAATATTGCGTTTTCTTTAAAACCAATCATAAAATAAATTTTCAAAATTCAATCCATAAAAATATATACTAGAAACAAAACATATTCACATTGAAATTTACCAAAGGTTTTATTACTAATAAAGTAAGAAACTGGTTAAGTGGTATATAAAGATCACAATTCTAGCTTTCTAATGAAGACAACACTAAGAAAACAAATAATTTTTTGTGGGTTTTTAAAATATATTTTGATTTTTAAATAATGTCCAGAGTATTTTATAGATTTTAATGCTTCAGTATTTCAATTCTGTAATTTTATAGTTCTTTAAAGAATATCAAAGCAAAGATTGTTAGTAAATCTTTGCTACCATTCAAATTCTGTATTTCCTTTTTTTTTTTTTTTAAAGATTTCATTTATTTATATGACAGAGAGAGATCACAAGTAGCAGAGAGGCAGGCAGAGAGAGAGGGAAGCAGGTTCCCTGCTGAGCAGAGAGCCTGATGCGGGATTCAATCCCAGGACCCTGAGATCATGACCCGAGCCGAAGGCAGTGGCTTAACCCACTGAGCCACACAGGCACCCCCTGTATTTCCTTCTTTAAAAATTTTTCATGGAAGTATAATTGGCATATAAAATTAGTTTCAAATGTACAATATGATGATTCCATAGCTGTATATATTGAAAAATTATTACTACAATGTCTAGTTAATATCTTCAACACAAAAAACTCCAAATAATCCAATTAAATATGGGCAGAGGACCCAAACAAACATATTTCCAAAAAAGACAGTTGGCCAAGAGACACACAAAAAGATGTTCAACATCACTCATCATCAGGGAAATTCAAATCAAAACCACAATGAGATACCCCCTTACTTGTCAGGATGGCTAGAATCAAAAAGACAAGGAATAACAAGTATTGGTGAGGAAGTTTAGAAAAAGAAACCTTTCTGCAGTGTTGGCAGGAATGTAAACTGGTACAGCCACTGTGGAAACAGTATGGAGTTCCTCAAAAAATAAAAAAAAAATAGAATTACCCTATGATCCAGTAATTCCATTACTGGATATCTACCCAAAGAAAAGGAAGACACTAATTCAAAAAGATACATGCAGTCCTATGGTTATTGCAGCACTATTTATGACAGTCAAATTATGGAAGAAAACAAAGTGTCCATCAACAGATAAATGGATAAAAAATGATGTGATATTATACACACACACATACACACACAAAACTATTACTCAGCCATAAAAAAAATGAGATCTTGCTATTTGCAACAACACGGATGTGCTTATATAGGGTATTATGATAAGGGAAATAAGTCAAAGAAAGACATATGATTTCACTCATATATGGAACTGAAGAAATAAACAAAGAAAAAAGGGACAAACAAACAAACAAAAAAAGACTCTTAAATGCAGAGAACAAACTAATGGTTGCCAGAAGGGAGATTAAGAGGTACAAACTTCTAGTTAAAAAATAATTAAGTCAGGGCATCTGGGTGGCTCAGACAGTTAAGCATCTGTCTTCAGCTCAGGTCATGATCTCAGGGTCCTGGGACCGAGTCCCATGTTGGGCTCCATGTTTGGTGGTGAGCCTGCTTCTCCCTCTGCCTCTGCTGTTCCCCACCTGGCTCATGCTCTCTCTTTCTGTCTCTCTCTCTTTCTCTCTCTCAAATAAATGAACAAAATCTTTAAAAAAATTTTAAAATTGAAATTAAAAAAATAAAAAATAATTAAGTCAGAAATGAAAATACAGCATGAGGAATACAATCAATAAGATCATAATATATACTATATGATGACAGATGGTAAATATACTTGTGGTAAGCACTGAGTAATGTACAGAATGGCTGCACACCTGCTATGGATATGTATAGAAGTGTTGCACACCTGAGACTAATATAACACTGCATATTAATTATATTTCAAAAAATTTGGTAAAAATAAATAGCTAAATAGCTAAATAACTATCAGAGATCCTACCAAGTTACAAAAGATAGAATATAAATGGTAAATACCAATAATTAGGGGAATAATTTTTAATATACTTAACAAAGGAAATTCAGAAATTATTTTAACAACCAGCATATATAAACGATCATCTTTTGGAAAAATCATAGATAAAATGGTTTTGTTAAAGGTCTTCAAATTGGGCAACAGCTGGTGAAATAATATACTCCTTTATTACTTAATAAATCTTAACAATTAAGATTCACCTCATCAAAGAACAATGATGATCTGAATATATTCTAAATAATTTTAATATTCTTACCCATAGCAGCAATGGCTTGATTCAATTCATGATGTTCCACTGTGCCACTCTGGTCTTGATCAATAGTTATGAAGTTTTGCTTCCAAGCATTAAGAGCTGCCCAGAGTTCCTTGAATTCATTAAATCCCATTTTTCCTGTGTAATCTCTCTGATAATTTTATCAATAAAAATAAGTTTTGATACCAAAGAGAATTTACTTGGCCCGAAACTGCAAATCATCGACTAAAACATTGTTAGTATGCTTCTGCAAGTTCACCAAATTTAGCATATGAATAGATTGCATAAAAATGGAAAAGTATGGAATTCAAACAGGATCTTACAAAGTATTTTTAAAATCTCCAATTTACTATGGCCATTTATAGCCAACAATTGCTTGGTTATATTCAGAAAGCAATTATTCTGTATTCTAGTATTTTCTACTTTTATTCAAGGATACATCCAACATGGCGATCATAATTCTGCAGGTTTCCAAGCTGAAGGCTATAAAACATATTTATTATTTGAATTGGAGTCTGCCCAATTTTATTTATGTAAAATTATGACAATTTCTATTTTAGAAAACAAAATGTTTAAAATTTGCCAAAAATAAACAATCACCCCTCATCAACAAACTTTAAATGTAAGGCAACCATAGTGGAAAAAAAAAAAAAAGTCGAAAATAAAAATCACTACAACTCCAAGCTACTCACATCTAGTCAGGGGATTTGGGTACTTAGATAAGCAATGATAAAATAACTGAAAATTACTGTCACAGGGCAAAGGAGGGCTTCAGTCTTCCTAAAACGAATGATAAGTAGGTTTTAAGTAGAAGTCTGACATACACTGAGATCACAAAACTTAAAGGAGTTAGAGATTTGATTAAAGCTTGGGATGAAGGACTGGCCTTCGATAACATCTGAAAGGCAGATGAGGGCCAGGTCATCAAAGTCCTGAATGCCACCCTTAAAGATTTAGACCAATGGAAGTCACTGAAGAATTTTAAGGTGCAGAGGGGCAATTCTAAAATTTCCATTCCAGAAACATTCACTTATATTGAACAGAGTGTAGGACAGACTATAGACTAAGGTAAGATGAGCCTAGATATAGGTAAATCATTTGCTAGTTTACTACAATCTATTAAATTAAAAAAATGAGCTTCTGATCTGAAGCAACTCTTTCCCTTGGGGGAGAAAAAAGGCAGGGAGAAAAAAGTAAATATAAACTATATTAAAATCATAGCTTATTAGAAATACTAACACTTTGGGGCACCTGGGTGTCTCAGTGGGTTAAAGCCTCTGCCTTTGGCTCAGGTCTTGATCCCAGCATCCTGGGATTGACCCCGTATCGGGCTCTCTGCTCAGCAGGGAGCTTGCTTCCCCCTCTCTCTCTGCCTCCCTCTCTGCCTCCTTGTGATCTCCGTCTGTCAAATAAATAAATAAAATCTTAAAAAAAAATTAAAAAAAAAGAAATAGTAACACTTTCATATCTACAGAACCATAACTAAAGACTCACTAGGTAGAATTTAATTTTTCTAATCTTTATCACAATTGCACTGAATTGGTAAGCTAATTTACCTCAAAACCAATTGTATCAGTCCTGATAAAAGAGATATTATGTCAGCACAATTAGTTAAGCTTACAAAGTTCTTACTAGTACCTCTTTAAAATGAGTGAATAAATAAATAAAACTCTTTAAAGTTATCTTGTTTTGCTATTTGAGAACATATTTAAATTTTTATAAATGAAAAACATTTCAGCTAAATTTTAGACCTATTAAGAAAAAATTATAAAACATTCTCCAGGTTAAAATAGCTGATTCTCTTTAAATCAATACAGTGTCAGTGTTAGAATAATTTACAATATTTTCAGACTGACTATTCAACAGACACTCAGTGAGCATTCACGATGAGCTAGGCAGTACGATTTTGTGATTTTACATAAACATACAAAAGTACCGTAAGTCCCAATTTTATAAATGAAGAAACGGAGGCCCAAAATAATAAAGTTTCCCAAGTTTATAGAGCTAATAAGTGGAAGAGTCAGGATTGGAGCCCAGTGCTCCTTCATACAAATACTACTCAAGTGGGAAGAAGGAGGGTGGCAAAGTTTCCATGAGAAATCTCTGGATGGCATTCCAACATTTTGTCAAGATAATGTTATTTTGCTTTCAAGTTAACAGAGCACCTATCCATTACATGGGAAAATCTGAACATATGATAACAAATGGCAAACACTGAGTCTTCAAATAAGCATGTCTTCAAATAAGCATATCTTCAATCACAAAATAGGACTGAGTATATATGTATATAAGATGAAATATTTTTGACGAAGAATGGAGAAGAATTTTCAGGAAAGCTAATAGATTTTCACTTCCTCCAATACCCCATTAGAATGGGCAAAAAACTAAGTTTTCTAAAGTCATAAACCTTTGACTTTGGGATGAGAGAAAACAGAGGAAAAGAATTATGTAACTTAGAGAAGTAGTAGGATGGATGGAAGTTAACTAGCCTAGATCTGAGAATGTGGCTTGATGAACACCCAGTAAGGAAAGCTGAAAAGAAGCCTAGTTCCTGGAGAAGACAACATTTAAGAATTGGTATTATATGTGAAAACAGGTGTGCAGGTAGAGAGAAAAATAGAAGGACCGATTGAATATCTATGTAAGAGGCGTTAGAGCCCCAAATTCCCTCCTTGCCTCAGCTCCATGGATGCCATGTCTATTTTCACACCAGCAGAAGTCTGGGGATTTATTGTCTGGAGAATTCTTCAAACTTTAGGATACCAGGCACATATCCAAAGCCCTAACCAATAACCAATAACCAGTCCTCCTAAGCTCAAATGCTGATACTAACATTCACCCTAACATTAACCCCAACACTAACTCCCTGGAGAGGTCTCTGAACTGCAGGACACCAGAAACATAACCTAACACTAACTCTAACCCTAACCCCAATCTTAACCACTAACTGGCAACCTACAACACCTAAACCTAACACTAACACTAATCCTGACTCCTACCCTAACCCTAACCCTAGATCTGAAAAGTGGCTTTTGAATACACGGTCAGAAAGCTGAGAAGCAGCCTATTTCACTGTGAGAAGACCCCAAATATTTAAGAATTGGTAGTATTTCTGAAAATGGGTATGAAGGTAGCGATAAAGACAGAAATACCAACTGAGTATCTACTTAGGGAGCATTTAGAGCACCAAATCCCCTCTTTGTCTCAGACTCATAGATGTCTACAACATCTATTGTAACCTCAGCAAAACTCTGGGAATTCATACTTTGGAGAGGTCTCTGAACTGCAGGACATTAGAGACATACCCAAACCCCTACACCCAGTCCCCTAACACCTAACCTCAAACCCAAACCCGTGCTCTAACACTAACCCTAACTCTAACCATCTGAAGAGGTCTCTGAACTGTAGAATACCAGGCACATACTCTAACCCTAACCATGACCCTAGCTCCCTCCCTAATCTTAAACCTAGATCTGAGAAACTTGCTTCCTAAACAATCGATAAGAAAAGCTGAGAACCAGCCTACTTATCCTCGAGAAGACCCCAAACATTTAAAAATTGGCAGTATTTTCAGAAAACAAGTGTGAAGATACAGATTAAAAACAAAAGAACCAACTGAATATCCACTTAAAGAGTATTCAGAGCCCTAACTCTTCTTGCCTCAAACTGGTAGATGGCTGCCATATCAATTCACAAGCCACCAAAAGCCTAGGGTTTTATTCTCTGGAGAGGTCTGGGGACTGTAGGATACCAAGCACATACCCAAACCTCTATCCCCAACCCATACCCTTTAGCTCTTAACCTTGAACTCTAACTCTAACATAAACCCTACCCTAAGGACCCTCTGGACCACAAAATACCAGGAACATACCTGAACACTAACTCTACCCCTGACCTTAACACTAACCCTAATCACTAACATACAACCCCTAACACCTAACTTCTAACCTAACCACAACCCTAACTCTAACACTAACCTTACCCCTCTGGAGAGATGTCTGAATTGCAGGCACCAGGCACATATCCTAATCCTAACCTTAACTCTAACCCTAGATCTAAGAAAGTAGCTTCCTGAACACAAGAGATGAAAACCTGAGAAGCAGCCTAATTATCCTGGGAAAGACCCCAAACATTTAAGAATTGATAGTATTTCTGAAAATGAGTGTGAAGGTAGTGTTATAAACAGAAGGACCAACTGAATATCTGTTTAAAGAGTATTTAAGCCCCTATCCCCTCCTTGCCTCAGATTGGTAGATGACTGCCATGTCAAGCAGAAGCCTGGGGTTTTATTCTCTGGGGAGGTCTGCAAATAGCCATATACCCAAACCCTAACCCTAGCCTATCTAGTAAAAATAACATTTAAGTGACAGTTTATCAAAGACCAAGAACCCTGCTGAGTCTTCCCTCTTTCTTTCCTACCAGACAACCAGCCCAAAAGGAAATCCCTAAATGTACTGTTCCATAACACTGCCCCACCAAGCCACCAGACATGAAGTCTATGGTCAATACCAAACTCAGAGCTTCTCACCTGAATTTTAGTTCATTATGTGCAACCAAGGATCATCAGACACTAGAGAAAATCATCTAACATGAAAGACAACCAAACAAATAAACTGGAAAAAAAAAATCTGGAAGAAACACAGTTGGTGAAAGAAGAAAAAACCCTGAAAAATAGATTAACAAGAAAAATACATTAACAACAAATACAAAAATACAGTTTCAGAAAGATAAGGGAACACATTACATAGATGGGGAAAAAAAGAGAAGCTCTTGCACTTTAAGAACATGATAGCAGATATTTAAAAAAACAAACGAACAATAACAACAACAACAACAAAAAACCTCAATAGAAGATTCAGAAAATAAAGTTGAGGAAATCTCCCCACAGAGGAAAACCATAGGAGACAAAAATATTAGGAAAGTGACCCAGTCCAAATGACAGACATTCTAGAAGGAGATAATTGAGAAAACATCACTAAAGAAAATGTCTCAGAATTAAAGTAAATGAATTCCCAGTCTGAGAATGCCCACTGAGTTCCCATACAACAAGTCCAGGCACATCACTGTGAAATTCCAAACCAGGCAAAAAAGAAGATCTCACAAGCCTCCACAGTGAAAAAACTGACATACTGGCAGGAAACAGAAAGATAAAGTAACAGTGGATGCTAGAAATGATGGAGCAATGTCTTTAAAATTATAAATGAAAACGATCTATAATGCAGAGTTCCATACCTGGTCACTGAATTCTGTGGACAGAATGAAAGCATTTTCAGTTAAAGCCTAAAAAGACTTTGTTCCCATATATTCTCTTATTAAGAAGCTGGTTAATGTTGTATTTTATTGAATTTTTTAAAAAATGACTAGAGATGAAATAGGGAGATGAACAGAGAAATAGAGATGAAAAAGGGAGCTCCAACTCCAAAGAGCACGGAAAGTCCGTTCTGGAATGATAGTGAAGGAATGACAGGAGTGATGGACATTGGGAAGGGTATGTGCTATGGTGAGTGCTGTGAATTGTGTTAAGACTGATGAATCACAAGGGAGCCTGGGTGGCTCAGTGGGTTAAAGCCTCTGTCTTTGGCCCAGGTCATGATCCCAGGGTCCTGGGATCGAGCCCCGCATCAGGCTCTCTGCTCAGCAGGGAGTTTGCTTCCCTTCCTCTCTCTCTGCCTGCCTCTCTGCCTACTTGTGATCTCTGTCAAATAAATAAATAAAATCTTCAAAAAAAAAAAAAGACTGATGAATCACAGACCTGTACCCCTGAAACAAATAATAAATTTTATGTTAATTAAAAAAAAGTAGGTCACAATAAAAAGTTTCAAAATGATGATTAATTTCAGAAAAAGTAAAACAGTATATAAAAGGGGAAATTAATCACACATTATCACAAGACAGAGGAAGAACATTTAGATAATAACAATAAGACAAATACTGATTACTGATGTATACTAATGTGTACTAATGAAATTAGTACTAATGTGTACTAATGAAATTACTACACAGCTCTACTGGAGGGAGGAGGACTGGGAAATAGTCCAATGTGAAGTACTAGGGCAAGAGTGAGTTTCAAGTTCCAAGAGAGTTAATTCTCATCTTCCATAGCAGGATATCAACTGTTAATCATTAAAACTGAAAATCTATAGTGATAAAAGCATGCTATTTTGAGATCTGGAAGCAAATTTCAAAAGGATCAGCTGCAAAAGCTAAATGAAATTTCCTATATGAGTGGTTAACATTGGGGAGATAATTATGCACAAGGAACAAGTTATTTTCACAATAAGCTTTGCAGAACTATTTGACTCTTTAAATTATGTGCATATATAACTTCAATAAAAAGATTTTTAAAAAAATTTTAAATAAGGGGTGGGGAGAAGATCTCACGAGAATAAGCTCCATTAATTCCAGACTGTGTCAAACATTTCTGAAGTTCCTCAGCATCCACTTCACCATCCTGTCAAAAAATAATTATAATCTGATTTAATGCACAATTATATCAAATCATACAAGTATGCTAATTGGCTGTTTTAGGCTATTCAATAAATATGCATTCTTTAAAACATTATTATCAACTACAAAATTATAGAGGTAATTACTGACAGCAAAGGCATATTATAAAACAGCACAGAAAGTAAATAACTTTTTCACAATCAACTTATATTCTATTAATATTTAAGAACTTCAAGTATAATTTATTTTTTCTTCTTCTGAGAAACACCATAATCATTCTGACCTATAATAGGTCAAAATACCTAGTGAGAATCTTGCATCTCTACTTAAAATGGGAAAATGACCAAAGAAAAATCTCAAAAACATTCCCCTAATGGCCCCTTTCATGGGGTGTTACTTTTAAGGGATATGAAGCCATAACTGGAAGGAGAGAATAACTTCCCCCTACTTCCCCAGCTACCCCCAGCAAAATTTTTAGAGTCATCCTGCATCTTGTTGCTATTCTGATTATTTCCCAAACATTCTTGTTTGAACTTACTAGGGGAAATAATTTTTTTTTAACATAATCAAGAAATCACAATGGAAGTGAAACAGGTTGAATATTCCCATTATGTTTCAGTACCTCTACCTATTTTCTACAAAAATATACAGAGTAATTTACTTGAAAGCATCATAAACACTGTCACAAATGCAAAACAATAGCTCTGAGAAAGAATCAGGGAAACAAATTTAAAACACGAACTTTGAAAGAGTTTGGTTTTGTAAGAGACCCAGTAAATAAAGAAAAAATGTTTACAACCAACTTCCAAGAAGTACTGTAACTACTCATATTCTAATGAGTCTTTAATAAGGCATTCCTTATAACAAAAATTCCAGTGGTTCTAACAAGAATTAAAAAATGTAAGAAGCATTCTTTCCAATGGATCATGCACGTGCCTACACAGATTATCTAAGTGTTCCTTTCTCTGCCATGCATAGTTCTGGGATTTTGTTTATAAAATTTTAATAAATTCTGAACTAAGAAAACTATACTTTAAAAAATTAGCCATATGTTTAGAATCAAAAGTACGCTAGCAATTTTTCCTCCAATGATAAAGACTTTAGAAGGAATCTTTATTTAAGCGATTACCTACCTTCCTGCTGTATCAAACCATTTTTATATTTCAAGACTTTGAAACACTACACAAACACTTCTAACATGATCTAAGAAATCATCAATAAAAAACCAAACAAACAAAACAATCAATGAAGTTCACACTGCCACTGTCCAGTGTCTCAGTGAAACGATGGCACAGACAGCAGATCCTTGTCAATTACTGCAGGCTAAATTTTGAAAGACCTTTTTTTTACAAATTAGTAAAACAGAAGCAAAAGAAGGAAATGACTTTTCTCTCATTTTTAATTTAAAAATGCCTCCTATCTTCTACTACACTAAAGATAATGTGGTCATAAATTACCTTTTTCTTTGACTTTTCTTAAGTGGAAAATTGATACTACACCTGAGAATAAAACTAATGAGAATTACTAAGCTTCATCAATTTTTTTCCTCATTTATAAAAATAATGCCTTGTGCAAACAACAGGCTCAAAATGAAAACTTTCTAGAAAAGAGCAATTTGAATTTACTAAAAACCTTGACCAATTCAATTAAAATGAAGGAAATCAATCCTATGTGGTCTGATGATAATCTCTGTTCAAATACAAGCTTCTTCTCTAACATCTCAGAGAAAAGTCCACTTAGCACACAGAGGACCTTTCTCTGGATTCTGTACACTCAAAGACATATGCACAGTCAGGGCAGGGGGCTTGCGTCTGAGGACTTCACAAGGCATGGGGACTGTGAGTGGCACACCACCTGAACACACGAAGTGAGACGGGATGCTCTACTCAGGACAAGAGGCAAAACAAACTATACTACAGACTATCTCCTGATGATACCATTTCTGAGACGTGGAAGGCTTAGGAAAGCAGAACTAAAATGCTGGGCTCAGCTATCTCCAATACCACTACCTGGGAGGAGCCCTGAGCTGTCATGAAATTGGATTCTGGACACAATGGAGGTGAGGAAAATCACAAAACCACTAGATAAGGAAGACTGACATGAGTACAGAGGGAGACACAAAAGAGGACAAAAAAAGGGAGGGAGGAAATAAACAAAAACTCCATGTTAAATAGGTTTAGAAACCAAAATCCCAAAATACCTTAACAAATCAACTGTTCAGAAAGACAGCCAACAAAAAGCTCATACAAGATGAAAATAATCTTACAAAGTAGACATGAAAACAAGTATGTTAAGATAGTGCAGAGAAATAAATGAACAGATGTCTTCCATTTTAGAAAGAACCATTCACTTAACAAGTATTTCTTGAGCCCCCTACTATGTTCAAGCACCACTAAATGGACTAGTATCAGTGTCCAACAGAAACTCTTTGCTTTCACAGAGCTTACTTTTTAGTGGTGGAAGAGAGACAATAAATCAAAAATTATATTTGATGGTAATAAGTACTAAGGGGAAAAATACAGCAGAGTAAAAGTGATACGGAGTGTGTATATGGGCTCTATGCGGTGGACCAACACTACTTTATACAGACAGTTAAGGAAAGCCTCACTAAGGCTGATAAAGTGAATTCACCTATAACTAAATCACTGATAGGCGGATTTACTTACAGCGTAAAAAAAGTGAATTTCAAGATCTGAAGGAAGAAAGGAGCAAGCTATGCAGATATCTGAAGGAAGAGTGTTCTGGGCCTGCGTTGTCTAATACAGTGGCCACTAGCCATATAGTTCACTGGGCACCGAAACATGGCTAATCTCATCTGAGATGCTCTGTAAGTGTAAAATAGATGCCAAGTTTCCAAGACTTCGTAACAACAAAATTGCAAAATACTGTTAATAACTTTTATATTGATTACATGTTGGTATATTAGTATTTTTGATATATTGGGTTAAGTAAAATATATTGTGAAAATCAATTTCACCTTTTCCTTTACTTTTTAAAATGTAAAGCCTCTGGTAAGAGGCTTCAAAACTACCTATGTGGCTTACATTTGTGGCTCTTTTATTCTGTTTACTTTGGACAGTGCTATTCTAGGCAAAGACAACAAGCATAAAAACAAGAGAGTGCTCTCTCAGTGTTGCCATAATCTTCGCCTGTTTATCTTTAGCACTTCCTTCCTGTGCCATTATCATTCCTTGTGTGTCTATGTCCCTGACTTGGCAGAGATCTTCTAAGTCAGTTTCACTCATCTCTGCAACCCCAAGCCCTAGCATCGGACATAATACAAGGCAGGTTAGTTGTCTGGTAGAATGAAGACAATTATCATTGGTTCTTGGTTCAACTATAGTCATTTCTGACAGTTTGTGGCCATGTCCATTTACTATTTCCAAAGGTTGAAAATATTATAACTTCTCTTTCAAGTGTCAATTAAATTTAAAAATATAAAATCTAATTGATGAGTGAAATTCTATTTTACATGTTGTTTTTTCAGGATTTTCGGGGTCTGAAGAACAACCTGACTAGCTTTTCTACAAGTTATTATCATAAGAAAGCATTCTCCTAGTATACTACTTCATACTCATATTTCATACATTTTATGAAAACATGTTATCTTAATTGACTAACAAGTAATGTCTTCCTAAATTCTATGTAGAAAATCCAAGCGATCTCTTTGGATCTCCTTATTGCAGTGTGAGCTAATGATAATGATCAACTCTATAAACCCTAACAAAAGAGCTTTAGTGGTAGAAAACTACATTTTCTAATTGAAGAAGACCTTTAGTTAGATCATTAACAAAAAATTAGTTGCCATTGGTTAGGTTAACTAATAGGCAGCAAGATTTTGAAATGATACCCAAGTTCAAGTCCTATTTGTTCAGTTACTAAACCTTAATCTCCAGTTATTCATTTATAATAAAAAGGTACATCCATCCTGCCTACCTCTGTGTGAAAAAGGAAAAGCAATATGCACATTCAAGTTAAAGCTGTTGGTATTACTTACATTCATGTCTCATGTGTGTATGTGTGTATGTGTATTTGCAAAGGTACAAATCGGAATTTCCCCTAAACAACTGATGACTGAATCATTACTGCTCAAAAAATGTCATCCAATAAAAAGGAACACTGTAGAAACCTTTAATTGGACATTTCTCATAGAACATCATTAATTATGAGACCTATCCAAAAAAACAAACAAACAAAAAAAAACAGATGCAGAGGTGAGTTCAGTAAACTTACCTGATTCCTTAAAGCTGGGCAAAATTCAACATTTAAAATAACTATTTAAATATTTAGACTAAACACTGAAAATGGGACAGCTTATACATCCAACCAATACATTTACTGAATGGTTAATATATTTCTAGTGCTTAAGGGAGAAAATGTCAAGGGCCATGTTCTCATGGAGTTTTACTATTCAAAAGCACAAAACTAGGGGTGCCTGGGTGGTGCAATCAGGTAAGCATGGCAATTTGGTTTTGCCTGAGGTCACAATTTCAGGGTTGTGAGATCAAGCACTGACCGCCACCCAAAATCAGGTTCTGCACTTAGCACAGAGACTGCTTGAGATTCTCTCTCTCTCCTTCTCCCTCTGCCCTTCATCCCATCTAAAATAAATAAAACTTCAAAATCACAAAACTGTGAAAAAAATTTTTTTTAAGATTTTATTTATTTGACAGAGATCACAAGTAGGCAGAGAGGCAGGCAGAGAGAGAGGAGGAGGAAGCAAGGCTCCCCACTGAACAAAGAGCCCGATGAGGGACTCAATCCCAGGACCGTGGGATCATGACCCGAGCCGAAGGCACAGGCTTTAACCCACTGAGCCACCCAGGTGCCCCTACAACTGTGAAAAATTTAATGCGAATATCAAATAGTACAAACATGCAAATTATTGTTCCCAATTGTAACACTGAAAGAGTTCAGAAGTCAAATAAAAGTCTCTAAATCTACGCCCAGTTTCTATGTTTTAACTTGTAATTTTATAAAATAAATTTATTATATAGTCATTTATAGATACAGACTTATTCCAGCATTACACTACTTAAGAGTTATCATATAACAGCATTGCATTTAGTTGCAAACAATAGAAAATACTATCAAAGAGGTTTAAACCAATAATGGTTTATTTATTTTTTTATTTCTTATTAACAGAGAATGCATTGTTTTTCAGGGGTACAAGTCTCTAACTCATCAGTCTTACACAACACACAGCGCTCACCACAACACATCCCCTCCCCAACGTCCATCACCCAACCTCCCCATCCCTCCCATCCCCTTCCCCTCCAGCAACCCTCAGTCTCTTACGGATTGTCTCCCTTTCTGGTTTCATCTTGTTTTGTTTTTTCCTCTCTTCCCTACTTATTTCGCTTAGCACAATACCCTCTAGTTCCATCCACATCGTTGCAAATGGAAAGATTTCTTTCTTTTTGTGGGGAGAGGGGTTGCTGCATAATATTACCCCAAAGTTTATAGCAGCAACATCCACGAAACCCAAACTATGGGAAGAGCCCAGAAGTCCACTGAGAGATGAATGGATAAAGAAGATGTGGTATATATATACACTAATGGAATATTAAGGGTTTATTGTTTTATACAAGAAGTCTGAGGCTAGGCAGAACAGGACTGTATGGCAACTTTACAATGCCATCCATCTCTTTACATTTTTCTACATATCCCATCCAAAGGCTGTTATCTCAAGCTTGTTGACACAAGGTACAAAGGTGGCTGTAGCACTTCCCTATCTCAAGTTCCCTTTCCAGGCAGGAAGAATCAAGGAGCAAAAAGGGCCATTACTAGTTGCCAGGAAGGCTTTTCTCGTTTAGAAAAGGAAAACATCCTAAAGAAATTGCACCTAGGTCTCAGTGGCCAGTCCTGTGGCACACAGCTACCTTTACTAGATTCAAGGTGTCTGGGCTTGTAGTAGGGCTTTTCCAACTTCTACCACAGAAGGGAAAAAGAGGTTGTGAATGGAATTGGGGTCACCAAAACAAAGTGTCCGCCATATATAATAATTCTGTGTATATCCTCTATAAATAGCCAAGCATATGGGACCTAGTGAACACTCAAGTGAATGAATAAATGAAAAATGTTATCAAAGTCCTGTGAAATTCTAACTACTCTCTTGAGTTTTTCTTGGTGAATCTAAAAGAAGAGATACAGACTATGACTAAGACTCAAGTGTGAATCTATCTCTTCTTACTACTCTGATATTTGAACTTCTATTCTGGTGTTTTCTTTACCCTTTCCTGACTGGTTTTACCATCAAGTCTCTCCCCGAACCATTCACAATTTAAAAGTCTCCTTTTTGATACTGTGTCCCAGCTTCCTCATGGAGATTAACATGTAGATCATGTAGATCTATTTTCCCCAATCCTCTCTGGCTCAGTCACCATGCACCACACTATTTCTAGTCTTCGCGAAACGAACAATGTGTCAGGCATCATACCAATGGACTTCTAAAAATGAAATAATTATGACTATACTCATCTCTGATCTCAAGATAAAAATCAGTCTAGATAAGCTTAAAATACAAATTTCATATGCATGTAAAATAACACACTAGGTAATAGGTGACATTTCTTTTAAATAGCAATCACTTCCAAAAACCGGTATTTGTGCCATGTATTTAACACCTCACCTGTCCAGCAACAGCAGTGAAGTATGTCCACATGGGGTCTCCCGCTGAGGAATAACTGTCAGAATATGCTGGGTATCCACCAGGGAGCAGGTTTGGCCCTGTTCCTGGAACTGGTTGTCCCATCTGCATCTGTATTCCTGGCATCTGACCACTGAAATTTCCAAACTATAAGAGTGAAAAAGGATAAGGTTTTTAATACAAATATTACCTGTTACCCACTAAAGTTGGTATGAAAGAAAATATTTATGATGAGTCCACAGAAAAGCAAGAATAGAAAGAGTTACTAAAAGCAACCGAATTCATATTACAAACGCTATTAGCTACAAAATCCTAGATGTCCTGCATTAGGAGGTAACTGAGTTCATTAACACGTTATCCAACAACAAAAGAAGTGTAACACACACAAAAAAACCTCTCTAGCCTCTGAGAACTTAATCTAACAGATGAACCTGAAGCGCACTTTTCAAGTGTTTACCATCAACATCACCGAAATAAAAAGCAAAAAAATACAAAACAATTTCACCTGCAGTCAAACTAAGTAGTAGTATACTTCAGACACATACTTAGAAGAATACATGGTAAACACAATAAAACTGTGAACTAGGCATGGGAAACTGCATAGAATGCAAACACCGTCTCCACCAGAAAATATTTTTTTTTAAAAAGCAAGACACCAATAAACAGATCAATAAAGTGATTAATTCCAACCACAGTCTTCAAAACTAATAAGAATAACAATAAGAATACCAACAAAAATAATACACAGCTAATATTTACTGAGGTTTTTTTTTATAGCCCAGGTACTAAGTATTTTCCATCATGTGCTTTGATTTTCCAAAAATGTTATGAGGTATTAAACTACTATGTCTCTTTTGTCATTGAGAACCTGAAACTTCGAGAGGTTTCCTAATTCGGTTAAGGTCAAATAACTAATAAGAAGGAGACTCTGGTTCAAATGTAAATATTCTGATGTTTGTTTCCTGCTATGGCTATGGCTTCTCTCTACTTTTTTAACTTTGGAACTTGGTATACATTTTAATACCTTAGGCATTTTACTGAGCATTTTTATGAGTCTGGAAGAGAAAGAAGCATCAAGATTGTTATTCCATACTGAACAAAAATCTTGACCTGCATCCTTGAAAGATGAATAGAGATTGTCAGAAGGCAAAAAAGAAAGAAAAAATTTATTCTAAAGTGGGGGGAGGGAAGGAATCATAAGATGGGATACTATCAGCAGTTTGAAGAGCTGAGCAGCTGGATGTGTAAGGGTAAATGTATGGAGGAAGTGCTGGAGCTCCAGAAGATGCCTTTCAAACTCCAGGAAACGCACAACTAGATTATCAAACAATGAAGTACAAGTAAACAGTAAACGTTAAAACAATATAATGGATTAAAAACAAGCAAACAAAAAAAGATGAGATTTTTAAAAAGTTGCTTCTTTTAAAAGAAGAAAAAAGACCATTAAAAGATACCCAATAAAGCAATTTCAGGAATTAAAAAAAAAAAGTATATAACCACAAATTACAATTTCCAACTCTCAAAGGAGGTTAAGGATAAAAAGTTATGTAAGGAAGAATAACCTAATCACTTCCTACCTCCCAAAAAAGTCTAGAACAGATTGCCCTTGGTAGAAGAGTAAAAATTGGGAGACATCTGGCACACCTTAATTTATTCATAAGCAACTTAAAGGACAGAAAACAAGAAGTGGCCAAAAATTCTGAAAGAGGACGTCCAGCAAAACTGAGGAAGGTGGGGGTCGACCACAAAATATTACTGCAACAAGAAAAGGGCGCTTTAGTTCCTCCAATCCGGGAAGAAACTTTCCAAAACCACAGCACATCCCCGCCTCACAAGGACTCGACTAAGGCGCCCCCAGGGACCAGAAGACCTGTGGCTCCCTGCTCTACCCTGGCCCCAGGCTCCAATGCCGCGAGGTGTCTCAACTCCGCGAAGTACCAGAGACCCCTCAAACCAAGCGGATGCAGGGGGCGGACCCCGCACGCTGGCACCGCCCACAGGGGCGCCCCACCCCGCGAGGGCGGAGGCGGCGGAGGAGGTGCCCTGACTCACCGCTCCTCCGTATCCCGGGTAGGCCATTACGAGCCAAGCAAGCGTGCCTCGTCACCCTTCGAGTCAGCGTCCGCCCTACTGGGAGAAAGGCGAAGCTGCAGGTGCAGGGTAGACGCAGAAGCAGGGGAGGCTGAAAGACGCGCAGGCCGTGCGATTTACTTCCCTGTGACTGCCCCTTCCCGGTGTCCTACCCCGCCCTGCTCGGTTCCGATTGGTTGAGTTCGGAGCCCAAGCGGCCGAAGCCCCCGCCTTCCCGGAGTCTAATCCCACCCATGTCATCTCTGATTGGCTTCACGCACCCAGCCCCCTTCTGTTCGGCTCCTATTGGCTCGCTCAGGTCTCGCGCTCTCTCCTCACTAAACTGCAAAAGTCTTTGCTCCAGTAACTTTCACTCTTTTCGGCTAGGTTCTCCAGGCTGCATTGTTTTTTTTCTCCCGAGAACCCCCAAACCCGCCAGTCCATGACTTCTTTTAGTCTATTCCTTCACTCTTTTGAGCTGGACTTCCAAGTCTGCATCTGTGAATTTCAAAACTTTTCAATTACTCACGTTTATTTTTGCATCGTGTTGATGTCAGATCACCAAAACTTTGAAACCTCTCTGCCCCAAGGGGAGTGCTTCTGAGCTAAAACCCACTTGATGCGAAATTTTACCAAAAGGTTATTTGTAGTTTGTTTGGTGGGTAAATGGCGAATAGGGTTGCCAGATTTAGCAAATAAAAATACAGGATGTCTGGTTAATTTAATTTTCAAATAAACAATGATTTTTTAAAATATATGTATGTCCCAAATATCACACGAGACATGTCTGGTTAATTTAATTTTCAAATAAACAATGACTTTTAAAAATATATGTATGTCCCAAATATCACACGAGACATACAGTTACAGTAAAAAATTATTCACTGTTTATATGTTAATATACAGGGTAGCCTGTATATTTTCTGACAACTCTACCGATGACCCAACCTTTGTACAAACTCTTAGGATGTCCTTCGTAATTATATCCACCGAAGGGAACAGCTTGGTTTTTATCACTTGGTGAAAAGTTAAACAGTTACTTTAATTTATTCGGTAAGAGTAATTGACAGTTCTGCTTTTCTCTGGAACTCAGATGAATTTTGTAGCTCTGGCTTTAAAAGGACAGGATGCACATATACACCCACCAAACGGCTTTAGTAGCTTTAGCTTAAAAACAAAGAAAAAGACCAGGATGATATTATCTCTGAAGAATGTGACAACCCCTAAAATGTTTTTTAAAAATAAGAATGTGGGGGGGAAAAGGCGTAGGATGTGGGGGTAAAAAAGCATCAGCTGTCTATTAGCAGAGGAAAACCACCTTGCAAAGCTGAGTAATAAATGCCCAGCTACACTACTGAGAAGGAACCTTGTGAAACTTAATTTTATCAGGAAGAGGCAGAGAAAAAGGAAGATGGCTAATGCGCAAGCCACTCTTGAGAAAGTGTGTTAGTTCCTGTAACACAATAAGAAATAATTTAGACAGTAAGTTTTGATTATTGGACTAAATGGAGGGAGATCATACTTGGTAAGAGGAAAAACATGTGACTGTTAAAGCATGAAGTGATAATTTACTACAGAGCAAAACAAATTGTTGCAAGGTTTTATTCTAATTGACTAACTACATATTCAAAGAAATGATCAGAAAGGATAGAGTGTTTTACATTTATAATGTTAGTCTAAATCTGTGGTTAGAATTTTTGTGCATTTTTTTTCATATTTATAATCTTAGTTTGTATTGGGTTTGTGTATGTTGGGGTCAAGTCGCCATGGGTTTCTTGCATTTCTACACATGTAGTTTCAAAGATAGGGATATTTCCCTCAAGGGCAGAGAAATTTGTTGCAGGATAACAAAGATAATGTGTTCCTCCAGGACAAAGTATAGGTTGGTTTGCTAGCATGACATTTCTAAACTTGGACTTGTCCATTATTCTGATCCAAACCCTGGCGGCTTGTGCAGCTCCAGTTCACACTGACAGCCTTGGGAGCAAGAAGAATCTATGAGTCTGAAGCTCGCGCTGCCTGTGGTGCTATGAGTAATAAAACCCTTGGTCTCTGACAGAGGAATATCACGCATCTGTCAACTTCTAAGAAACTGTGGCAGACGGCTTGTTAGCTTACAAGTGGGATAAAATATCAGGTCCTTCCCAGTTCTTGGCAGTGTATCTCTTTCTTAGAAAAAGAGCTGCCTAGGGAAACTCCTACTGAAGGACAGTATTCATTTCCGAAATATGCCACGTTGGCATAAGGCTTATTTTGAATTGAAAACAATTGAGAAGAAGCAGATAAAAGAAAATCTCTCTGCTCTCCCTGTATTTGCCTAAAAGCACCACAGAAATTTATAAAAGTGTCCTACTCCTCCCTCCCTACCAGGAAGAACAAAGATGATCCCTCCAGACAACTTTAGACCCTTATCAATGGAGAAGATGCATACTGAAATCTGCATTACAAATCTTACACTTGTTCACACTGCTTTTCCGGGTTCCTCCCCACAGTCAGCCTCCCCTCACCTTTCTTCCTTTTCTTTTTAGCTGAAGATGGTATCTAAGCTAGAATCACCTCTGAAAGTTACTCAGTTTTCCCTGGGTATTTCCCATGTATACATGAGGATACATGTCAATAAACATCTGGGTTTATTCTCTTGTCAATCTATTTTTTATTACAAGGGTCTCAGCCAAGAACTCAGAAAGGTAAAGGAAGAATTGCTTTACCTCTTATAAAGTACTATGTACGATGTACCACAAGTTCCAAAGAGGTCTTTCGACGCACCATCTGCAGCATCTTTCTCTAAACTTCGTATTTCAAATTATAAATGTTCTAGTATAGGAATTTAAAAATTCACTTGAGCCCACACAGATTTTTTTAAAGTAATAGTAATGAAAATTTGGCTCATGGTTCAGTTAGTAGTGTATGACCAGTGTCATTTTATGAAAATGTAATGTATAAAATCCAATTTGAAATTATGCCTTTTTATTTCAGAAAACACTCCACTATTTCATAAAAATAGTTACTTATAGAGTGAACGCTGTGTGACGGGCCCTGTGTGCTATGAGGGGCCGTTCCTCAAAACAACTTCATTG